TTTTATCCACGTCGGACGATTCGTGTTCGTGTTCACGTCGCACACTATACTCTTGTTGAAGAGCCGCCGTCTCGAGCAGTCGCGATCGAATGTAGGTCCCTAAAACCTGTTGTTGCGGCAATCGTTAACGGATCACAATCGAAAATATCGAAATCATTCAAACACGAGAATTATCGCGAGCGGGCAATGATTATATTTCTCTCCCCCCCCCCTCCCGCCCCTCTCTCTTTCTCTCTTTCTATCTGTCTCTTCTCTATAAATCTATCTATAGCCTACAGCTAGCAGGACGGATCGGAATTCTAATGGAATTAGCGACGAAATACGCAAAACTACTCCCGACATGACACAACGGAAGCCGTCGCGCGCCAATCCGGATACGAGGCGACGGACAGGTTGAAAACGCAACGGTTTCCGCGATGCATGGACGAGCACAATTAGCCAAGCGCGACGACGTTTAACCCGAGAGGCGTCCGGATCACCGCCCATCGAGTTGATCGGAGTCGCGAGCGCGCCGAGAGAGAGTTCGAGATACGCGAGCGCGATAAGAAGTTTTATCACGGGGTAGCTCCGCGCGTACGAGGACGGTGACAGAAGGCCGTGCAAATGGCGACATTTTCGGGGAGGAGGGAGTACGAAATTCAAGGATCCCGTTCGAACATTCGAGGACCGGGGAAACGGTAGAGTCCGAGCGCGTCTGCCGTGCACCGTTCGAGCCGACGGTGATCGACGGGCGACGGAAAGTCGCGTGGGCCACGTAGCGTCGCGTCGCGACGCGACGCGACGCGACGCGGCGCCGTTGCGAATAGAGACACAAGGGCCGACACACCCCTCGCGCCTACGTCATTCATCGTCGAGCGCGAACGGCGAGCGCCGAGAGGAGGCAGAGAACGAACTCCGTGTGGTTCCGATTCCGCGCGAGCTCGGCGCGAATGCGAGATCGGGATCTCCGCATCACAGGGATGGCCGTCGGCGTCGACCGCCGTGCGGCGGCGTTCGACGCCCGACACGGCCGTACGTATATCGGACAACTTACCTACCAAGGAATCGCCGCCAGCCGCCGCCTCCTCCTATCCCGTGATATGCCCGCGCCCGTTTCACGAACCGTACAACGAACGCAGCTCGGGGCCGCGCTCCTCCGCTCCGTATCGCCGCTCCTCCGCGCGCGCGGCTGTTCCGTTCGATGAACAGCTTCCCCCCGCCTCCTCTTCCTCCACCGCCGCCGCCGCCGTCACCGCCTCCACCACCGCCTCCGCCACTGCCTCTTGTCTTCACCGGCGTCGCCGAGCCCGAAGCTCCTCTTCGTCGTCGTCGCAGCCGCCGCCGCCGCCGGTTTCCCACACAAATACCTCCCTCTGTCCGGCAGGGCGAAATTTAACGTCCGCGCATCGACGAACCGCGATGATGCTACGCGGTTGGCGTGTAATAATCGTATCGGCGGTTCGGAAATTGCCGAACGCAACGTTTCACGCGACTGACAATTCTCACCAGAGGAAGATCGCGGAAAGATCGCGTAGCCGTGATGTTTCTGTTCCGCGCCGCGCGCGGAATCGATCACGGAGACGTCGAACTGCCGACGATTACCGATCACTGTTATTGATCGTGGACACTTTAGTAAACACCGCGCGGTCGGATCTCTGATCTAGAACGAGTCATGTGAATATCGTAGACGACAACGACGGACGATTGAACGGACGTTCCCAAGCGGTCGTTTGAAGAAGCTTCAACAAAGTCACGCGGACCTCTGGCGCCATCTGCCGTCAATCGTGGCAATTAGCATGAAATAACCAGGTTTGCCAACGAAATAATTCTTTTCTCTTTCTTTTTGAAATTTGACAACATCGACCGTTGACGTCTATTTTGAATTAGAAGGTACAAAAATACGCTTTATTGTATATCATCCTTTTATCCTATGACTACTTTTTTTAATAGAATGACATAAAAGCCATGAAAGATTCTTATGAACTTTTGTAACTTTGACAATTATTAACGGAATATTATTAACGGAAGCGACTGATTATTGCGAACGGCTGATAGTGTACTCTTTTATTTTCACCAATTTTTAAATATCGTGTAGAAATATTTATCTAAGAAATTCATATCTCTTATACGTATTAATAGTAAGAATAAATTATAATAAATTAATAGTTTAGAATGCTTAGATAAACAGATTATATAATACTCATAGATTGCATTTGTACGGCACAGTAAGGGGGCTCCGCACAATAAAAGGGACAGAGAAATAGAGAACAGAGAATAAGAATTTCACAATATATGATTTCTGAAAGGTTGAAATTCTTATTCTCTGTTCCCTGTTCCTTTTATTGTGCGAAGACCCTAATTGCAGAGTCGTGAAGCTCCGCGAAAACGTTCCACCGTACGCGCATATTTTATACTTACGTGATACATCATCGACTTGTTCTTTGCCCACACTTTTCATACTCAGCAGCTTCGCTTTAAAAAGTGTAAAAAAGTGTAAGCAAAGCGAACAGATCTTTGTGTGTTTAAATTCGTGAAGTCACATGAAACAAATATCATATAAACAGTACGTAGATCACACGTTGCCAGCACGACGTTTGCTGTTTATATGATATTTGTTTCATGTGACTTAATGAATTTCGACACACATGTTCATTAGCTGCATATCATTGGTTAATTTAATTTTGTCTAATTTAATTTCAAATTTAAATGATATTCTACAATAATAAACTTTATTTTCGAATAAATCGATATATCTTTGAGATCTATCTTTGATCTTATCCATTATATTATGAAATTCCGAAATATACAAATAATAAATAGGTTAGAGAAACACATGAATTAAATATTTAATTTTAATTAATTAAAGTTGAATTAATTTATAATAAACGATTTATTTAGGATCGCGCGCGCAAAATATAATAAACTACACATAATAAATAAGCAATAATAAGAAGCAATGCCTGTACCGGTTAAAGCTGGATCTTGAGTGTTCGGAATAATTTCAAGAATAATTTTCATATTATTTATTTTAGAAAAAAATCAAGTTTGAAAAAATGTAAAAAAAATTACTTATAATTATATTTTTAACATTTTTCCAAACTTGTTTTTTTCTAAAACGAAAATTATCCCTTTAATTCTTTTTTTATGCTTTTACATTACTGTTGTTATTTCTATTACATTAAAAAGTAATTTTATAAAAAAAAGAGGGATGAATATGTATGGACATATTTCATATTATACGTGTTTATGAATATTTATGTATGTTCATATATATTTATACATATTAATGTATGAAACATTTATCGTTATACAATATCATTTAACAAGTATAAAAAATAAAAATTGCGTATATTTAAAAAATTTTAAAAAAACTTATAAGATAATCGTTGAAACACTCATCGTCATTGCGATAAGTTTCGAAATGTTTTGTTGAAAATGTTATCATTATCGAGACCCCCGACAACTATGTATAAAATTGGAGCAAATCAAATATGTGTGTTTCACTCGTCGGAAAAAAACATTGTAAAAATAATTATATAATCAGCGTAAGGATTATTTTGATAACTATGATAAAAAATATTTTGTATTTATGTTAAAACAAATCCTTAAAATTTTTGCATTGAATTTTTAACATATCCAAGTATTAATTTAACATAACGTGATTGTGTTATTTGAATATTTTGTATTAAATTAAAATTTAACATTTCTCAGTGTTAAAATAACACAATTTACAGGTAAGTAGTTCAAGCCCCGGCCGAGATAATATTTTTTGCAATAAATTTTATTAACAGTTTAAACAAATTTTATTAACATTTTTATAATATATGATGCTTGATGGTAGCATCAAATTATTAAATTGCTTGTCAATTTAATTCGCGATTACTAGAGTAGTTTTAATTGCGTTTATAATTCGGAAAAACAATTTAGCGTGCAGTTCTAAAAAGACTAGAATGGTACATATGCAAGTACATATATAGGGTATATTATTAATTCAAGATTGAATTATTTTAAGGCAATGAAGATTCAGCTTCGATCGTAATAGGCATTTTTTTAGTATTGATTGTGTTTCTCACATATGCGGTCTAATAAAGATTCTTAATATTGTTTATAAGTAATTAAACAAATAACATAAAAATGATATTGAGTTTTAAAACATAAATTCTAAGAATAAATGAATATATAAAATGTGTGTGTGTGTGTTAATTTAATATATTATAATTATTATAAATGTTAATTTTATCGAAGAAATATGTTCTGTACACAGCTAAATTATATGTAAGTATATTTTACATGTAAAAAGATACAGATAATTTGTGTTATTTTGTCTTTGCAACAATAAATATCTGTTAAATCTATATTATTATTACATGTTTAAAATATCACAGAGGCATCGCCTAAATTAAAAATTAAAAATTAGCGTTTTAGTTTAAATTTAATAATAACATTATAAATGTGTGTGTCAATTTAACTTAAAATTTGCTTTTAAATTGTATCAAAGTGTTACGCTTTATGTGTTAATTTTTTACATAATATTTGTGTTATTTTTTTAACATATTCATCTTAAATTAACACAAAGATTTGGATGGATCGTTTGGGACATGTGAAATGTGTAGTCTATTTAAACAGAAAAAAATATCCAACAATAAGAATTTGATACAAACATTCATTGAGATGATATTTCAAGGCAATTTAATCAACTTCAGTTCAATTAATTTCAATTTAGAGTAACAGTATATGGACACGTCATAACGCACAAGTAAACGAAGGGAGGAAAGAGCACGGATAGAACAAATCAAGTAGACAGGCAGCCCTAGACCTAGACTTTCTTCATTATGGAACTATCTATTTTGATCGTATAAAAAGAATGGCTGCGTTCAGTGGACTCAACAGAGTGAGCGCTCGCTGCTATTGGTATATTTTTTTTAGATCATCCAATTAGCATTTTAGATCCGGAAGATCTATAATCAATAATAGCAAGCGCTCACTTAACTGCTGAGTCTCACTTAACTGTTCAGCTCCACTGAAAGCAGCCAATCATTCGCGATCGGCTTCGCTCGACCGACAAGGAGGCGTCAAAGAAGGTCGGTCTGACGTACAACAAATTATCCCGCTCAGTATTAACTCGGCCTGCGAACTGTGAACAGCACATTCATCAATCCTTCGTATCTTCAAGGACCCTTCCGAAGAACACGCTATAGACGAATTCATATAGACGAACGATGAACGCATCAGTTTTAAGATCCGCCTTCCGCGAAGTACGTGAGCACGCATAGCCCTTTCTCTTTGTCCCATTAAATTTAGTTTTCTAAACCGTTTTGCTTTTTTTTTTTTTTTTTTCAAAACGATCAAATCTAAAATTTCAACCCAGAACGTGCGATTGCTTATTTGTACATACCATGTTATACGCTATTATACATAACTTATCCGCTCGTGATTAGCGGTTGCTCGAATTCACTTGTATTTCTTTTTCTACAAAGCATCTAGCAATGTTCATAATCGCGGTCGCGATGAGTAGATTAAATTCTCTAATTAATTTACTATACATTATTCGCAAAATATACTAAAATGCCGGATTTTATGTAAATTCTATGCGTTTACGTATTATATGTAAAATTTGGTGTAAAGTTACGAGAGAAACAAATGTGCACATATTTCGTGGTTTATCTATACCTACAGTGGTAAAATTATGTGTTTCTATCGGTTCGTATTTAAATTATCAACGGCCTTCTGCCGTTTTGTATTTCACCATTTTATCAAATCGACTCTACTAAAAAAAAGAAAATCATGTCACAACGTTACATGATGAAATTATGTAAGTAACGTAGCGGATTGTTCCAATCAGTACGTGATTTTCTAAAATCACGTAATTTGAAAAGTCACGTAATATTAAAAATAATTTCGTTCATCATGTGATTTTACAGTTATCGAATTTTAAAGAATTGAATGATGGAAATGGAAGAAAAAAAACATGTGATTTTTCAAATTACGTAATTTCAAAAAATTGGTTTTAATTACATGGTTTCATCATGCAACTGTGTGACGTGATTTTTTTCGGTAGGGAAGTATTCGATTGCATTTGCCAGCACATTGACGAGTCAAAGACAGCAATCAGAAAAAAATATATTCAACTTATTTCGAAAAATGTTTTATTTTTCCTTACTACTTCGTATATTGCATGTATATTTTACGCGTTATATAATATATGGAATAATTAACTGTTTATTCTCTTGAATACGTTCAGTTTATGTAATTGAACACGCTATGTAACACAAAAGAGCCACGCTTGTTGTTCGTGCTATACTATGTTTATATGTTTATAGAAGACAAACAAATTATGCAAACATACAAACGTTCGACCTTTTTACATTACGTCCTCTTCAAATGAAATAAAATTAACGCTACTATTTTTTACATTTCAAAATCTTCGAGAACATATCGAGATTCCTACACTTGGAACATCTTCAATTGCTATAAATGAATTTATCTATAATCCCTTGTGGCGAACGTTAAGATGATGGCACACAAAAAACTTAAAGTAAGATGTAAAATTTGTTCGCGTCGCATGCTCCAACATGTTCCTACTTCCTGCAACTTCCCCCTATTCACTCAAAACGCGCTTGTTAGAGTGAGTAGAAATGATGGTAGGAACATCTTGAAGCATGTTGGAGTATACGACGCGAACAAATCTGTAAGCAGTATGGAAATCAACATAGGCCTGTTTTTTTTTTTTTTTGGCTGAACTTTTGCACCAATTCATCTTTCTTCCTCTTCTTTTCTCGTGGAGAGAAAAGGAAGAAAGATAAACTGGTGCAAAAGTTCAGCCAAAAAGAACAGGTCCCTTGTTGGATTGGCTACTACTTACGTTATGACCTTACGAACTCTACCGCGATTAGTCAATTCGCTTACGTTTTACTTACTACTTAAGTTTTGTTTGGGTGCCATGGCCCTTAGTGTATGTCAGCGTAGTATCAACATGAAGTATCGAATGCAACGCCCGAACATCCCAACTCCTAAGATCTTGTTATATGACTTGGATGTGTAGAACTTTTTATTTATTGCTTTATCAAAAGTAGAAATGTATTATTTTATATGGTCCACTTAATCTAATGTTCAGAAGTCATAGAGATAAGGGTCCCCCTGACATCATAATGTTTGATAGACTGAACACAATAATTTTCTGCATGTACTAACACGTTTGTCTTTAGCACAGACAGAACAAAAAATTCATTAATATGCGATTATAACAAATGTATTTTTCCTCCACGACACATATTTAAACGAAGCGATATTTAGAAAACGTACATGTTTTTTAGATACCGCAAACGCTAACACGAACGCGAAAAGTACATTTATGTGCATCAAGACTCAATTACCATCCAAGCCCTTTGACGCAATTTACGGATGATGAACTTATGATGAAAGAAACCGGTAAGTGTCTCAACCTCTTTTCTCGTCAAAAGTAAATGATAAAGATCGCGAAATCTGTTTATTATCTTACTATACACATATCTTCATATTTCAATTCGTATATTCATAGTTGCTAAACTGGCTAAGGAGGAAATCGCTCCTGTCGTCCGAAAAATGGAAAAGGAGGGCAAGATAGATGACGGCGTTTTAAAGGTGTTATTCGAGAATGGCGTAAGTGTGATGGAACAAACAATTACTTAAAGTTTAGATTTTCATATCAATTAAAGACTATACAAGGTATCCCCCAGTAAACTAGAATGGATTAAAATGGATTGAAATTTTTTTCTATCCGAATGCATTTTTTAAATAGCGAATACTTTTTGTTTTATTTAATTGGATTCAATTGGATTTAAATAGATTGAATTGGATGCAATTGGATTGAAAAACTGCATTTCCTATTCAAAATGTTGAATTGAACAATATTCTCAATGCACAGAAAAAGCTAATATTATTTTTAGATCCCAGCAAATGAGAATGGATTGAAATATATTGAAATGGATTCAGATTTTCAGAAATATTGATTCACGTACATTAAAATGAATGCTTTTCAATCCTGAATGCATTTTTATTCATTTATAGGAATTGCATGGAGCATATCTCTATGCCTTTCAATCTAAAAATAATATTAGCTTTTTCTGTGAATTGTGAATACTGTTCAATTCAAAATTTTGAATAGGAAATGCAGTTTTTCAATCCAATTGCATCCAATTGAATCTAATTAAAAAAAAGTATTCGCTATTTAAAATATGTGTTGTATTCGGATAGAAAAAAATTTCAATCCATTTTAATCCAATTTCATCTGCTGGGATTGAAAGGCATAGAGATATGCAATTCCTATAAATGAATAAAAATGCATTCAGGATTAAAAAGCATTCATTTCAAAATTCGTGAATCAATATTTTAAAAAATCTGAATCCATTTCAATTTATTTTAATTCATTTTTGTTTGCTGGGCCTACATCTTATCATCTGTGTTAGTATATATTATGAGTAAAAAACTTGCAGGCTTTTCTGCTTTCCGATAACCTCTGCCAATTGGTAAGACGAAAAAGATACAGTAAACATGTATTAAAATAGGAAACTTGACGCTGGTTGTTGGAAAGCAGAAAATATGCTTCTCTGTGCTCGTACTCTTATATTATATGA